CTGATGTAACTGGAAATCGTGGAAAGTAAACAATTTAGGGGTGCTCACCAAGTGGGTTGTGGTCCCAACAACCATCCATAGGTGTCAGGGTGTATTTCCTACCCAAACAGTCCTTCTCTCCAGCTTGCTGAAAGAAGTCCCTATGTGGATGCTGCTTGAGAAGGGGGTTAGATTTTAACCTAAATGTCCCCTTGTAACCCCCTCATCAGCACCCCCAGCTCCTGCACAATCCCCAGACGTGGCAGGATGGCCAATACATGGGTTGGGAATAATGTGCTATTGCTTCCTCCAACATCTCCTTCCAGAAGTCCATTTTGGTTCTCCCTCTGGTTTGGTTGCTATGCCACATGCTTTGCATGGCCATGTGTGACACTGAAGGGTTGAAGCTATGCATGTGACTGACCCCCACAGCAGGTACCCCAAACCTCCCACTGTTGAGTAGCAAAAGGCAGGTGAAGGGGAGGAGAAAAGCTCCTGACAGTTTGACAGTGCTTTGGCATTGGGCCTTTGGGATGGAAAATCTCTATCTTTGCATGGGTTTTGAAATTATCTGGCTTGGATTGGGGAGTGCTAGACCTGGGTCTCAAAATGGCAATAATTCTCCCTAGGGATCACATCTTTGGACTTGGAATCAGTTTTGTGCTGCTTGTGCCTGGGGGAAAGAGAGTGATAAGAACAGGCTGGAGAGCTGGGAACTTCCTTTTTTGCTTAAAAAAAAGTCAGGAACAGCCAATGTGACATTTTCTGGCTTGTAACTGAGCTGGAGAGCCTGGAGCAGCCTCTCTCTCCAGCCCACAGTGGAGAGGAGCACCCATGGGATGAAGTACTACTAAGGACGCAGGGATGGGGACCAGCCTTGGGACTCCTCACTGCCATCCCTGGGGGTGTTCAGGAGCTGCTTCCAAGTCTCAGTGCAGGAGAGGCTGGGCCACTGAACATTCCTTCAGGAAATATAACCCTGGCCCTGAGGAACAGGGCTTGTTCTTCCCCTTGCCTGGCCCACAACTTTCAGCTCCTCCTCAGGCAGAGGAAGAAAAGGAGACAGATGGTGCTGTCAGGTTACTCTGCAACTCAGACACACAGGGATCAGTGCTGACCCACATGTGTATATGTTGTTTCTCTCTGTTTGCTGGGTACACCACAGTTGTTGTCTAGTCCTGGAAAAACAAACTATTTGGGACCTTTGGGCACCTCAGAACACAGATGACAGGAGCAATGTGAGCTGTACAACTGAAATCGCATTCCACCCTGTAACAGCACCAGTTTAACATCTTTTTAAACCAGATTTATAACTGTGACAGATGAGGCTGTTCCCCTCACCCAAACTCATTTTCTCAAGGGATGCTTAAAACCTATTTCTTCTTTTACATACAGCAGTGTCACCATTCCATGCAACTTCTACCTCCAAAGTGTTCCTGCTCTCTGCAAGCTGCACACAAAGAGACTGTTCCCTGAGAATAACATTTAGCCTGCAGGTACTTTCTTAAGTGGCCTATTTGACCAGCTGGCATTTTGTGAAAATAACTGCTTGGAATCAGCAGAGATCAGCTCTTGATTTCTAATTCTGCTGCCAGGCACAGACAGTGCTTGCAAAACCTTTTTAGAGGGAAATGCAAACACAAGCAGAGCAAGGCAGAGCACAAGCACTGGGAGCAGGGCTGATGGACTGAGTATCTTCTGGGAAGTGATTAACCTCTCATAGGATCAGGCTCCTCATCATGAGCAAAGCTTCCTGGACAGATTCCATCTTAGCATTGTCCTGATTGCTTAATGCAGGGAGCTAGGGGGCAAACATTGCTACAGCATCTACAGTTTTGTGTTGTTGCTAATGCCGTATAAAAAAAAAATCCAAGCAAAAGCAGCCAAAGGAAATAAAATATAAAAGTTAAGATAAAATTATAAAATCAGCAAAAATTATCTCTTTCCTGGAAAATGGGCTGGGAGGTATTGTTTGCTCTTGGCCTCTCCATCTAATGGCCCTGCTGGGCAGGAGGAGCACCAAGTCTCCAAGAAGCTGTAGCAGATCTGAGTCTGTTGTAGCCTTCAGTTGATGGCAGAAAAGGGATTTTCAAACAGAAAGATGGAAGGAAAGGAGAGATGCCCTCCCCCAGCAGGACACTCTGCCTTTTGCTGGTGGATGTGTTTAAATCACAACAGCATTTGTGGCAATTACACAAGTACAAACCAAAGGACAGCAGAGACACTCCCACCCAATTCAAACCCTGAAACAGAGCACAAGGAGGGTCACAGCCACCTCTGCCACTTGTGTGTCTGCTGGTGCACTACTGCCCACAGTCACAGCAGAGCACAGCCAAGCACGGTAAGGGCACGTGCCCAGGACTAACCTGGTGTCTCACCTCTCTACTAACCCATGAGGAATTGGCTTTAAAGTGATTTTTTAAAGTGCCTTTTGGTAAGGTGGAAACCTGGGGTCTTGCAGGAGACTGGGGTCATGTAGAACTTGACCCATGCAACGGATGACCACAAAATATTATAGGGAACAACATCTGCTCAGGGCAGGCAGCCTGCTGGCCAAAGGACAAGAGATTACTGCTGCACACCCCCCGAGTTATCTGCGTTTACTGACGTCTCTAGCTAATTAGTAGTTAAAGTCATAATAGAAACATCACAGCAAAATCTGCTGCCAGGGAGGGACCAGCTTTTAACACATGCTCTGCAGGTCAGGGACTGTTTGCCCTTCAGCTCCCTATAAAAACGTTTTCAGCGATGCCATAAAACCTTAGATGGATACAGTATTAATTATTTCACTTTATAAGGTGGAGCAACTGTGCAGCATTGGTAGCTCAAAGGGACCTTGTATGTGGATGCCTGGGAGCTTCTGGGAAATCAGTGCTGGGGCATGTGGGGTGCAGGGCATGGGGAGAGCCAGACCCCCAAGCTGTGCTGGGGGAGAGCTCTGTGGGGTGTTTGCTGGGCAGACTGCTCAGGGATGGGAAAAGCCAGGCAGCAGAGTGCTGTGCCCTGATACCACCTGCCCAAAAACCTGCTCTGCCACAGACCTCATCCAGGTCACCGAATCTCCCTGTCCTCAAAATGCTGCCAATTAAATGGGATGCTAATTGTGTCCTCCATAATTGCAGACACGGCCCTGAGGGAGTTGCCTGTTGCTGCTGCAGTGCCCCCAGCTCGGGTGTGCCAGGTCCCAGAGCAAGGAAAATTATTAGAACCTTACACATAAATAAAAATGTTATCACCTCACTCTGCAGAGGAATGGCATAAAATCGCTGCAAGCCCCATCACGCTGAGCATCTGCTCCAGAGAGCAGGAAAGCAGTGAGCCGTTAAGGCAGGCACTGCCCGTAAGGAAACTCATACTTTGGCTCTGCATGGAGGATGGAGCCTTTGGGAGGTCTTCCTTCAGGAGTTTTAAAAAAGGGGTTTCTAAAATGAAAGACATAATGATTTTTCACTCCAACACGAAGGCCTTGCCATATTTCCTGTGTCTTGACCTGTATCCCCAATAACTTGCTACACTTCAGCTCCAAAGCATGCAACAACTCCTCCACTGCTCAGGGATTGCTCATCTGAGCTCAGTGTTGCTCAAGACTTTTTTGTACTGATGGGGTTTACACAATATGAGTTTTCAGGAACACAAGAGGCTTTGGAAATGTGGAGCTTTGCTTAAGAAAACTTGTTTCAGAGAGCAATTCCCAACTCCCTCACCATTTCACATCTACTTCTCCTCTGTGTATGTCGGAGGTTGTTTGAGAAAAACCCTTCCTATCTCATTAGCTTCTCCTCTCCTTGCTGTTTTGCCACTCGTCGGATAGGGAGCTCCTGGCTGAACACAGAGATCGTTTCACATCTCAGCATGGGGCTGGCAGCTTCCCTAAACAAACACACCAAACTGGGAGTGGGTGAGGAGGCACAGGCGCAGCAGAGCAAACCTGTCCATCCAGGCAGAGCAGAGCCCAGAACTCGGGTTCAGTGTGGCTCAGCTCTCCGGGGTCCCAGCGATGCTCACCGAGACATCCCCACCACCCAGTGCCAGCATCCCATGTGGGATCCTCAGGACAGGGTACCAAACACCCCACAGGCTGCTGCTCCCTGCCAGCAGCAAGGCAGAAGGGTTTCAGGCACAGAACCTGCTCAAATCCAAGCAATATTTGGCTGGAACAGAGAGAAGCCAGGGGAGTAGCAAAGAAAAAGCAAGACAGTATTTCTGGCAAGTAAACCAGGCTCAGTATTCTCTTTTCTGAGCAGTTTTCTGCTGAGGGACTCAGAAGCAAGGATAGCTGTTCCAGGTGAGTGGAGTGGGCTGCAGGAAGGACTGATCCTGCCCAGGGCCAGCTGTGGACCAGAGCCCCACACAGACACGTCTGTGCATGCACACCCATCCCCACAGCCGCAAAATGAAACCCAAACATGTTTGGGGTGAGAGGACTGAGAAATATGACCCTGGGATGCGCTCATGAGAACAGGCTCAGCCTGACAGGACAAACACCTCGCTTGGCTTTTCCCTGCAGTTTCTACCAAGGGGTTGGGGAAGAGGAATAAAAGAGCTGTGCATAGAGGGGGAGGAATTTCTTTTAACTAGTCATGTGCTCGAGGACTGCATAACATTCAGAAGGGGTTAACTGGGCCTATTTCAAAGCATTTTAAAATATTTTTAGCCCACAAGGGCTGCTGACAGCAGTCCTTCAAGCACGGAGGGCTGGAATCTGGCTCTGTATTAGCAGCTGGCCTTGATTTTCCCCCTCTCTTCACAAAAGGGAGGATTAAAGAGCTTGGAAACATTTGTTTTGAGCTGCACAGAAAGGCCAGCCATCTATAAAGCTCTGCTTTTGGTAAACAAGCAAGCAAAGGCAGAGAGGCTGCCAGGCAGGCAGGTCTGTGGCACTGAGCAGCAGTCCCCAAGCTGTCAGTCACCCTTGCAGTGAGAAGACACTGGTGGTGGCACTGACCCCGAGCACAAGGGACCCGATGGCACGGAGGGAGTCCTGGGGAGGCTGCAGGGTGACAGGAGTGGAGGTGACATACCTGTTGCGTTGGAGAGCGCCAGGGACTCCATGGAGCCCCGGGGAGTCTGCTCGGTGGGCGTCAGGTCCTCTGTGAACTTGAGGGCATTGATGGGGTGCCGGGTGCGACACTGCGGCGTTGGCATCCCACCTTCCTCTTCCTCTTCGTACTTGGGGACTTTCATACTTCCTCTGGTCTCAGGGAAGCTCTGGTTGGACATGTCGCTGTAGCTCTCCTGTGAGCGAAGCCTCCCTGAGTAGTAGTCCTCTCTGCAGTCCTGGATGAAGCTGCCACCGTGGCTCTTCATCGCCAGTGAGGAGCTCCTCTTTTGGTTGCTGAAATGTTTTGCCCATAGCTCCTGCTGCGAGCCTGGGACCTGGCTGGGGTTATAGGAGGTCCTTATGTTGCACTGGCTGAGAAGCTGCAAGGGGCTTTGGGACTGACTTTGCTCCATTTTGCCCCCGTAGTGATAGAGCTCATCCCGGCTCCTCCACAAGTGGTCCCTGTTGAGGCTCGGGGTCTGGCTGGCCAGGCTCAGCAGATCCATCTGCAGGGACAGCGGGTCCACATCAGTGGAGAGACGGTTGGAGGTGACCTGCAGTTGGTTGCACGGGCTGCGTGCTCCCTCCTCTCCTTTCCCCTTGTTCTTGCCGATCTTGGCGCTGCGGCGAGACTCTTTGGCTCGCGCGCTCTGGAAAGCCGAGTCAGAGGAGTCAGAGCCATTGGGGTCATCACCAATGCTGCAGGCCCTGGAGCAGAAGATCTGCCCCTGCTTGGGCAGGAAGGGCCGTCCCAGCAGGGACTTCTTGCACTGGGCACAGCAGAAGCAGGTCTCGGTGGCATGCCAGTGCTGGCCGTCGTACGTCATCTGGCCCTGGTCGATACCTTGAGAGGGAAGATACACAATGTCAGGGTCACTTAACACGTGCATCAAGGCCCAGCTGGATGGAATTTTGAGCAGCCTGCTCTAGTGGAAGGTGTCTCTGCCTGTGGGAGGGTTGGAATGAGATGACCTTTAAGATCCCTTCCAAATCAAACCATTCTATGACTCTATGATCCCTTATGAGTGACACGGTCTCACTCTTGAACGCCCTTTTGCAGGGTTCCTCTGATGCATGAAGTTAATCCCATTTCTAATTCCTCCCAATTCTAATTCCAGGCCTTTGTTTGGGAGTTACTCAGTGTTGGGAAAGGCAGCAGAACTATGCCTCAAGCTATTTTGTATTAAATGGGGATATTTCCGATCATAAAGCAAAGGAATGCAAGAAGTTCTCTATAAAGTCCTTGAAGTCAAAGCAATAATATGCTGCCTTTCTTTAAAAAAAACAAAAAGCCTCCAACTGAACCGTAATGAGGAATTTGTGCTGCCTTGGTTAAGCATGTAACAGAGCAGATGACATCCCTGTCCCTTGCTGCTGCTACTGTGACCCCATCCTAACTTTATTTTGGCTTCTGGGACCCCTTCTCCAAAAGGGAGTGGAAAGAGCTGGCCCCAGGGGTTGAGCACACACTCTTGCCTTGCACCCAGCCACATCTCCTGGGTTGCCCTACCATCCCCTCTTGGGTTCAGTAAAGGAATTGATGCAGACAGTCTGTCCCCTGCCAGCAAAACCCCAGGGGGCACATGTCTGCACATCACTCTCAGTCAGAGCCGTGAGCAAAGCTCCTGAGGTTTGAGTTATAAGCTTTACCCACTTGTTTAAGCTGCTGCTTATGGAAAAAGCCCCTGCTACCCGAGAAACCGCTGTGCTTGCACACCCACCGTGGCCGTGTCGCTGGGGGGGCCCAGTGCTGCCAGATAACTTATCAATGAACAGGATGATAATGGTCTGTTTTGTTCCAACCTAAATTAGGTTTAGTGTAATCATTTTTTTTCTCCCCTTATAATGAGCAAAATGCTTTAATGCAGACTGGAGTGCTACACTTGTGGGCAAAAGAGAAAGACGGTGGGTGGGATTTTATCAGCTCCTTTTCCACTGCCCAAAGCCATCTTGGAGAGGAAGGAGCACAGCCTCTTTACTTCACCCTCAGCTACCCAACCCGAGCCTTACAAGTCTTGCTTACCTCTGATTTACGTGGCTCTTAAGCACAGCACTCAGTGACTACAATGAGCAACTCGCAGCAAAATGGTTGCAGTCCCTCCTTTGCTAGAAATGTGCAAACATGCACCAAAATAGGCATTTTACCCTGCAAACCTGACAGTCAGCAGGCTCCAGCCGGACGGTCGGGGTGAAGGACAGCAGATGGTGGAAGCATGAGAGCAGGGAGCACGTGAGAAGCCTTAACAGCTGCTTCTTCACCGTTCTGCAGCTGAGCTTTTGGGAAGGATGTGCTGCAGGTCACAGCAAACACATCCTCCAAGTGCTTCACTGAAACCCTGAGTTTCCCCTCCCTGTGCCATCTGGCTGCTGCACAAGAGCAAAATGGTGTGTTTTTTTCTTTCCCTGCAGCCTATGAAATATTTGAACACGTGAGCTCACCTCCATGGACAAAGGGAGGGCTGCCTGCACTAGTGCTCAGCCAAGTGGCAAAGGGAGCTGGGGAAAGCAGCAAGGTGCTTCCCAGCCCACCCAGCCTGGGGCACAGCTACCCCCCCAAATAAAGTGGATTTTAAATCACAGTTCTAGAAATGTAGGTCGACCCTGATGCGTTATTTCTTTCTGTCTGAGAACATCTATCTGCAGGTTGATTAAAAAATGCAAGCAGAAACAATAATGATGCCTTAATGAACAAGCATCTTCTCTGACAGTATCTCATCAACTCGTGCAGTGCTTTGGCAAGCTGGGATGGGAAAAATGTGAGTTGAAGAGCCAGGCTGTTTACAGGAAAATGGGATTTAAAGGAAAAAAGTGTACATTTTATCAGACCAGAGAAAGCTTTCACTAGTTGCCACAGCTCCTGAAGCTGCCCTCTGATAATCCTCCCTTCTCTGACCACAAAAAGGGTTTAACCAAACAAATCACCGTGCTAGCTCCTCAGTGGGATGAGAGAGGGGCATGAGAATCTTCAGATGCCCCAGCCACAGGCAGTCCTGCCCATAGTGTTGTCAAAGGTTTAATGCAACATCTCCTGTTGGCAAAAACAACCTCCAAGTGGAGGTTTGGCCCCACTGCCCACCCACAGCAGCACCACATACCGATGTGCTGGGCACAGGTGTCGCAGTACTCAGCGTACAGGGACTCAAAGCAGCTGCAGCAGTAGGGTCTGCCATCCTTCATGATGTACCTCTGCCCCCCCAGCACTGTCTCACACTCGAAGCAGCAGAAGTGCTTCATGTGCCAGTGCCGCCCCTCGGCCTCGGTGCACTCGTCGGCAAAAATGATCTGGAAGGGCAAACACAAATGTGGAGAAGAGTCAGACAGAAAGAGGACCTGGGATGTGGATACCAACCTTCATGTTTTCTGCCTATGCATGGCAGTTGTGTCCCTTTGCTCATACAACCTCCAAGTTTTACAGCTATCCCCTCTAGTCCTGCATGGGAAACTCCCATGGTTTGGCTTGCAGCAGGGACACCCATCATTTCTTAGGAAAATCCATTAGAATGCAAATTCCTCAGGAGTGTGTCAGTGTCCAGGCTACAAAGTGTTAAGGCAGAGCTGCAGTAATGTGCTCATAAACTCATCCATCAGCAGGAGGGGTCGATCAGGGTAATAAACACGCTTATATACAACCTATCGATCTGGTGGACTTCTGAAGAACAGAGCAGCCACTTACTGCAACACATTTACCCATCTCTGAAACAGGGACCTGAGCACAAAGGATGAGCAAAAACACACGGAGAAGTGGCAGCTCTCTGAAGCAAGAGAAGATGGAGCTCCCTGGCTCCTCACCATCGGCTACCCCAGCCTGTGTGCTTATTAAAGTGATCACAGTCATTATAACAGTGGGGAAACTGAGGCACTGTTAAGGATGGCTGGTGAAGCAAACATCTAAAATGTTTTCAGTGGATGATTTCTTGCTGTCTCTGCTTCCCATCCCCACCCCATCTCAACTCCCAAAGCCAAGCCAAGGCAACAAGCAGCCCCAGCTCTGCTCTGTGGTTCTCTGTCCTGGCACAGGGCACACCAAAAGCTTTTCCCCTGTAGATCCTCTTACCCCGAATTACCCTTTCTCACAATTAGCACTGGATGTTTCAGGGGAAGAAAAACATGTTAAAGAAGGAGCTGAATGAAAGACTTAAATGAGAATTTGCAGGGATAAAAAGTACGTGAAAAAAATTTCCCAGCCTAAGCCACAAAGAAATAGGGCCAGTTGAATGGTTAGGGATTATTTTTTTACTGGTAATGCTACAAATTTAATTGGATACATACGTCAATGTTCTTTATATCTGAAGTGTGTATAGCCTTGGATATTTACTATTACATGCTTAAAAAGATGGGACGTGGTATTTTATAGTACATATGGTTTTCCACACCATGGTTTTCATAACTTTAAAAACCAGAACAATTTCCTTCACCAGCCTCTTAAACAGAGATTGACACTCAAGAAGAGCTCAGAGGCGACTCTGGATGGTTTTCTATATTCGTTTTGTATTCCATTTGTTCAGCTTCCTATAGACCCTTAATCGCCTCTCTTCAAGCCTATTTCAGCTCAGCATGTACTCAGACAGGACCAACTTGTAGAAAACACAGCACTCATCCCACCAGAGGCTTCTTCTGGGGGAATGGAGGAGAAGAGAGGACCACCACACCCAGCTGGGTTAAAATAACACAGTACAGAGGTTGTGCTGTTACTGGAAACATGGAACACCCCCAGCTCCCTGCATGTAGACAAGGACCTATCTCAGAACAGTCCTAGGCAGACTGCAACTAAAAATACCTGAAACCTCAGGAAAAGCTTGCTTGAACCCTCGGCAAAGACAAGCCATCATATTTTGTGTGCATGCCTCCACGTAGAGGCCAGGGTGGATGGAGGGGAAATGCCACCCAGTCAGTCAGCAAGGAGAACCCCCTTGTGCCACCCCCAGGGACAGCAGCAGCCGTGGGAGATGCCAGGGTGAGCTGACTCTTACCTCGTCGCATGCGGCGCAGCGGGGCTTGAGGCACTCGGCGTGGTGCCTGCCGCAGTAGATCTTCCCATCTTGGTAGAAGTAGATCAAGTCGACCAGCAGCTCGTTGCAGACACTGCAGATGAAGCAGGGAGGGTGCCAGCAAACACCGTGTCCCGCTCGTGAGGCGAAGACAGCCATGTCTCCTCCGTTGATTTGGCCACCACACTGTCAGAAAACCCGGTGATTAATTGGGGTGTGGGTGAGCCCATTGCTGCCCATCACCAGCCAGCTGCTTTCACAACCTCTCCCCTGCACAATGCAGGAGCTGAACTGAGTACTCCACATCAAATATTGCAGGGTGCTCTTGAACGTGCCCAAACAGACCCCAGCGCTCGTACCTAGTGGAGTCATGTGAATGCTTCTCCTGTAACCTTCATAAAATCATAGAATGGTTTGAGTTGGATGGAACCTTAAAGATCATCTCGTTCCAACACCTCTGCCCATCTACTAGACCAGGTAGCTCAAAGCTCCATCCAACCTGGCTTCAAACACTTCCAGGGACAGGGCAGCCACAACTTCTCTGGGCGGCCTGTGCTAGTGCCTCACCAATCTCACAGGAAAGTATTTCTTTCTAATATCCAATCTAAACCTACCCTGTTTCAGTTTAAAGCCACCCCGACAGGGCAGCCACAACTTCTCTGGGCGGCCTGTGCTAGTGCCTCACCAATCTCACAGGAAAGTATTTCTTTCTAATATCCAATCTAAACCTACCCTGTTTCAGTTTAAAGCCACCCCCCTATCACTACATGCTCTTGTAAAAAGTCCCTCTCCAGCTCTCTTGTATTTAGGTACTAAAGGGCTCTAAGGTCTTCCTGAAGCCTTCTCTTCTCCAGGCTGAACAATCTCAGCTCTCTCAGCTTGTCTTCATAGGAGAGGTGCTTCACTTAACTTGGCTGATTCAAGTGCCAGTTCATCACCTGCTACCCACCTGCTCACAGATGGCTCCTGTCATGGTTACAGGGAATGGCCGAACATTGCCTCTTCCTAAATTTTCCCTCTTCCTTTGGTTGCTGAAGAGTTTGAGCTCCCTCTTCTCCTCCTCATCCAATGAATTGCAATAGCGGACCTAAAACACACAAGTGATGCTCAGTGTTAATGATGTACTTGGCTCTCTGGACAGCAAGGCTCAGTCCCATGGGCCCTGCAAACCCCTGCACTGGGCATATGCAAATAAACTCTGCCCTTTGATTGAGGGAGGTTGGAGAAATGCAGGTGTCTGGGCTTCAGTCACCTGAGGTTTGGTCAGAATTTCAAGAGGTAGCCATGAAAAGAAAGGGCAGGAGCAAGGTTGTTTTTCGAGTGCTCAGTTTGTAGAAAAGTCTTAGAAGTTGGGTTCTTGGAGTTCTACGCAGACCAGCAATCAGACTGATGGTTTTCCTGCTTTCTCTACCATCCTCCTATGGCAGAGGTCTTCAAAATATTCCACTGGCACTTCTAGAGGACAGCCCCTTTTCCCTGTGCAAATGATGGAATTCCAGTGCCTTGTGAACTATTCTTCCAGCACAGGGTCAGGTCTGCACATTTGCAAAACCACTGCACTGGAAGGTTAATAAGGAAGTACGTAAAATAAAAGGATACAAACAATGAATGATGCAATTTCCCCAGAGCTTATAAAACTCTGAGGTTTTCCTGGCTGTTTTCATCCTTCAGGCTTAGCTCTTGGCTGGTTGCATCTCTATGGAGAATATGACTGAAAAGCCAAGGTGACCACATGTAGCACCAGTGCCCAATCCAACCTCCGTTACTTTGGGAGGGCAGGCTCATGGAGCTGAGCAGGGTTATTCATGTGAGCAACCAACACACCTTGAACGTTCAAAGGAGTGAAACCGAGCACAAGGGGAAACTGGATGCAAAATCTGCCAATTTGCAGAAAATACATGCAGACTCACAGGTCCGACCTTCATCAACACTGGCTGCAGCAGCAGCATTTGTGTGTATTTATTCCCTCATTTTTTTGGCTGTCAGAGGCTGTGGGTTTCCAGCTGCTGCCAGGGAAGCAGGCAGGCAGGTTGGGGCCCAAGGTTGTATGGGAAGAAGCCCCTTCCTGGTGCCTGGAGCTCCCCCCGCACTGGCAGTGCCACGCTGTGCCCGTGGCACACAGCCACACGCAGGCAAACTTGTTAAAATCTGACCTAGATCAAACAAGTTACCTACATGTATTTTCCAGAGCGGCTTCTTCAGAAAGCAGCATGAAAATAATGCTTTTTGTTTACACAGGGAAATTTTGCGGGTTACCAAAAGCCACTGTTCTCACTGGTGAGATCAGGACGTCTAAGACCAGACCCTTTTTGCTGTCTCACATCCTTCTTGCGAGACGTAAGAAGGTTTATGTGCTCTGACTGGTCTTGACTCAACCTCAGGCTTGCCAGGCTCTCCCAGTTCACAAGGCTCAACCCAAGTGAATCCCCTCCTTGGCACACTCACTCCCACTCCCAAGGTGAGTTGGAAGCAGCACCTGGCAAAAGGCTTTTGCAACTTCAGATCTGGCTCTAGCTGATCTCAACAGCATTACAAGCCATTTTTCATGGGACTTTGGACTTCAACGGCTGAGAAAATGCTTTCATTTCAGAGAACTGAAGAAAGATGACTTACAAATTGGTAAGTTTAGAAACAAACAGCTCCCCACCTCCAACACCATCCAAACAGGGAGCAGATATAGCAAAAATATAGCAACTTAAATAGCAACATGACCAAACTCCAAGTAAATCCCCCTGAAAAGCAAAAGGAGTTGAGAAAGGATGAGCCATGCATCCCACAAGTGCGTCCACTCCCCACCCACAGCCCTGTTGATGTCCAAGGACAATTTTTGGATACTGACCTCATTGTCGTGTGGCGGCAGCTGGTGCAAAAGTTGCTTTATGCGAGATTTCTCTCCCGGGCTGTTGACGTAGGGGACCTTATCCTCAGGCAGGCAGCTGTAGTACTGATGCACCTATGGAGCAAGAGACAGGACTGCAGTGGTGTTCCCCGGCAGAGCCCGTGTCCCCATGCCCAGCCAGCAGCCAACCCCCGAGGCAGAAGGTGCTGGGTCTTCCCAAAGATTTTGAGCAGGGAAACACAGCCATAGGAGCTGCTTTGGGTTTGTTGCCTTTCCTCCTCCGAGGAAGAAGGTGTCAGCCCCGGCGAGGCAGCGTTACCGTTTGCTCGGTCAGCCTCCATAGCGTTAGCATGTTGTGCCTGCTGTGGGGATGTGTCGGCCCCTGCCTCGGCAGGGCAGGTTAAAAAGGCTGCGCCCCGACAGCCTCTGTGTTGCTGGCTATCTCAGCCTCCACCTCCATCAAAACCCTCCGGGCTTTTTTCTGCAGCAATTTGTGGAAATAAACAGCAGATAAAAATCTGTTGGAAGGCTTAGTTTTTTCTCTTTTGTCTCAGAGCATATAATTAAAATCGGCTATTAAAAAGGCAGGGGAACGGCGTGCCTGGCGCTGGGAGCCCGGTGCAGCCCAGAGAGGAAGCACACCCTGAACCCCAGCGTCTCTGCTCCGACTGCCACACCTGGGACGTGCACTCCAGGGCCGGGCCAGCACCGGGAGGGGACTCACTGGCTGAGGATCCACTCCGAAATGGCCACGGTGATGTTGCACATCGTGGGAAGAGCCAGGAGAAGGTAAGGGTAAGGGAAAGCTTGGCTGGGATTGGGATTCTCTGCAGCCCCAGATGCCTCTGGATGCTCGGGCAGGAGCAGAGGGCTGGATGGCTTCCTTAAATCTGTTCTTGGCTAGAGAGATGTAGGCTGTTTTCCCAGTGCCTTTGCTGCAGTGGGATTAGCCCCGAGATGCTCCCTTAGCTCTCAGCAGTTCATTTTGGAGCGGCTGCACCGCCCGCAGCTTTCACAGGGCTTTTCCCAAACGACGCTTCCTTTGCAGTGACTTCCGATCAGCTTTTTCCCTTGCTGTATGCTTTGGACTTTGGCCTAGAAAGCACCACCTGGGCTGGTTCTCCCCAGAGAAGCCCTCTCTGCCCACACAACCCCACAGCATCTGTGGATGACAAGCTGCCGCGGGTTATTGGGAGGGATAGGGACACAGAGGAAGGTCACCCAGGGCTGGCTGGCAGGGGAGCTCGCCCACGGGCTCACAGGCTGATGGGGGTGGCTCAAATACAGAGTTACCTTCTACAGGAAAAAAATACCCTTTTATTCCAGAATAAATATCTAAAAATCATGTTATTCAGGAACAATTGCCCTGCATTCAGCTCACTCCCTGCTCTCATTCAGAGCTATGTGTGAGCAAGAGCTGATCCGGTGCCTTTCTCAATCCTCCTCAAGCCAATGCCACCATCCACCTTTCCCCATCATCAGGTTTTACAGAAAGGGAGATTTTTAGCAGATTTCCACCCATAACTCTGCAGTTCTGATGACAAGGGAACTGCTCATGTCACTAAGCTGAGGAACATGCTGAACATATGCCACTGCAAAACCCTAAATTTGTTTTGCTAAGGCACAGCAGAAACAGACCCACCAGCTATGGAAACTGTCAAAGAAAGAATGTCTGCGAAGTATTTTGTTATGTTAAAAAGAAAACAAACTACGTACATTAGAATACTTACTTTGCATTTATAGAGCATCCTTCATCCAGGGACATCAAAGCCCACTAAAAAACACTTAAATTCTCATGATGTGATACACGAGGTAGCAAATATACACACTGGGGTGGACTAATTGCAGCATCCTGATATTAAGTGAGCTCCCTGAGTTCATGCAGCTGGTCTGTAGCAGAGTTTGCAGTTGAGAATCTCCCAGTGATGCCCAGGCTGCCATACCCTTTACCAGGTTTCCGTGCTGTCACACTGTCCCCCCCCAGCCGGCACAGACTCCTGCTGTCTTCTCCTGCCAAACTCCCCACATGCAGACAGGCTGCTTGCTTTGCTCACGTTGGTTAGTTTGTGTTTTTATTTCTTGCAATGAAGTTTTTTTGCCCACTGAGTCCTTGAAGTTGTTGGAGACCATAAATCACTTTCTTTTTTTGAAGAGCTGCCAAATTCCATCAGGCTGTTGTGGTCCCTAAAGCAATGAGCCCTAAGACGCTCACCCTGGGCAAAAAGCAGGGATGGGTGTTCTTCCTTTGGGTGCTGCCTTCCTGGAGCATAACGTGGAGGAATGTACATGCCTAGCTCTGCTCCTGCTTCCGCTGGGAAGTTTTCCATTTAGTCTCAGCAGGTCCACGGGAACTGGTTCCCATCACACCAGCAACATAGCTCGGCAGGGATGGGCAATTCGGTTTGAGAAGCAAAACAAAATAAATATAACAGGCTCCAACCTGTGTTCTGTTGCCTGAAATAACCTGAAAGGGTTTGCTTTGGATCCACATCAGCCAAGGGGACCTTCTGCAGGGGTGTTCATGGAGAGGATGGAGTGGAAGTAGCTGCCAGTCCTTGTCCAGCGCCTGCAGGACATCTCATGGGGAAGATATCTTTATGCCAGCCAATGGCCTCCTCCAGCCACCATCCCTCCTGGGGACAAACTTGAACCAGAGGGATGCACAGATCCTTTCACCTGGGAAATCATTCCAATCTTGAGATCCAGCCAGAGTGCAGATGAAGAGCAGAAGGGCACCCCTTGCCCAGGCTGACATTAACCCAGGCTTATGTAAATAACACTCTCGCATCCATCACCCATTCCCATCTCCCTGGGGAGCCAAGGCTGGGAGAGACAGTGTCCCAGGCTGTCAGTGTCCCTGCCTCTGTGCTCAGCTGTCTGCCAACAGCGTTTCTGCCCCAGTGAGTGAGCAGCTGGCAGCTGGGCTGGCACAGCCCAGTGTGGTGCTGAGGAATAAGGAAAAATAAAGAAGGAAGAGGGGATTCTCAGATCAATTTGACTTTCCAGGGAAAAGGCCTGCAGAAAATCTTAACTTGCTGGAAAACAAAAACTGCTTACTCTGCACTTTGTTTTTGTACAAAAGGTCACTGTTTTATGTTAAAGTAACTCCTCCTCCGTCCAGCTCCAGTTTGGAGCATGCACAAGGCTTGCAGCTGGTGAGCCTTGGAGGGCCACTGCATCCAAAGGGTCTGGTCCAGACCCACCACACACCAGTGGACGGTTCCCCACTGCCCTTACAGGCTCTGCAACATGAGCTGCACCCAGCTAAGGATAACAGTGTGGGGCAGTGAGCCCAGATGGATAACATTTCCCTTTTAAACCGTGCAGTATCTGTAACTGTTTTATTATTAAATACTCCTGCCATACAACACAGCAGTTCTGCATCCTCCTATTTCCCTTTACAACAGATCTGCCCTGCCCATGATTATCCCAACAAGCATCATTAACACACAGGAGCTGTGTGGGGCTGGACTGGGTTTCATCCTTAGTTTCCCTACTTCGCTCTCACCTCTGCTCACATCTGGATGAGAAGCACCCCAGAGGAAAACATCAGGCTGAGTTAAAATAAAGCTTAAGACAACATCACGAGGTTGTGGATGTCATGGGGATGGCTGAACGCTGTGGGCTCTTGGTGCCTTGGCACACTGACCAGCTGGGCAAGCCCCATTCTGCCCCAGGGTGGTCTCCCAGGCACTGGGATGTGCTCCGTGGTGCCAGAATCTGGCACGGCAGATATCCATCTTCCCAGGGTGTTATTCTCACCTTCCAAAGGAAAATGTCTAAATGCCAAGTTTTGCTAACAAAAACCGATACATGTTTTGGAAATTAACAGCTGCTTGGAGTTAATAAAATGGGAGGGGGCATGGGGCAGGGGGGGAGATAGAAATTAAACTAGAAAGAAACCAGGAGAAAGGAAAGAACATAATGTAAAATGAGGGTAGGAAAAAGCCTTTAAAGTGGAGCCAACTTTATTCAAAGGCACTGAGGAAAGTAATTACATTAGTTTACAAATGCCTTTGTGTTCTGCAGTCTTCCTAAGTTTGGGGTGTGTTTCCAGTTTAACTTTGACAGTTTACAAACCTACTCTAGCCCTGCTAAATAAAGGCAGGACTGCAGCTTGTCCTGGCAGTCCCAGAGGTGACCAAAGACAAAACCCACATGAACATATCTGTGAGCAAAGTCTTACACCTCCTAGAAGGAAAAACTTGCAAATATCCTGTGAATTTGAGCTATTGATGAAGGATGCCTTTGATCAATGAATTAAAGCCATGAATTGCTGTTGGGAAGTAGCATTTGGGAATGCTCACCCCGAGTACAACAGCCCTTCCTCAAGCACCCACCAAACCGGGCTGTTTGGGATGACTGTTCCGCTGGGATGGACTACAAAGGAGCGCGCGGTGTCCTGGCGCGGGTGCTGACTTGCTCAGCCCTCACGGCTCCGGCACATCCAGCTGGGCAATCCCGCCTGGCTTTCATGAAACCAAACAAACTGCAAAACCATCTGCAAGGCTTTTGCAAAGAAGGGCAGGACGTGCTGGCCTGTGTGTCGCAGGAGGAACACGGATGTCTCCAAAAAGGGAACCTTGTTGGGTCAACCACTGCTCAGGCACAGTGCTGTAAATCATCACACGCAGTGGAGTCTGTTCAACACACCAGTGTTCTCCGACATCCCCCCACACCCAGGACAGCATCATTCCCCCTGGGACCATGCTGGGGCACCACACCACCTGGGGATGTAGCGCAGCAGCACAGAGCGCTGTCAGCACACTGACGTGTGTGCTCAGTCGTGGCTCCGTCCCGCGGCTCGCTGCGTGCGTGCTCTCCTGGGCTTTGGTCGCCAGTGGCTCTGACAAGCCTGTGCTGGCCCGGGCGAGTGAGGCTGCTCCTGTGGCTTGCCTGCTCCTCCCCAGCGCCGGCTTCTGAACAGCACACGTCAGGCATTCGTGATCTTTTACACTGAGCACTTAACATTGACAGAGAAATGAATGCCAGTGGCTCTGACAAGCCTGTGCTGGCCCGGGCGAGTGAGGCTGCTCCTGTGGCTTGCCTGCTCCTCCCCAGCGCCGGCTTCTGAACAGCACACGTCAGGCATTCGTGATCTTTTACACTGAGCA